ATAAACATATTTATTTTATAAATTATAAATTTACCAATTTCGCTAGTATATAAAAATGTTATTGAATAGACCACGCATGACGCGTCTATCCCTTTCCAAAATCACGTATTTTTCAATTTTTAAAACTCAACTGCATCGATCTCAATCAAGAAGCTAGTTAAATAACTTTTTTCGCTTACAATATGATAAGCAATAAACTATGTACATATGTTAAATCGAAAGAATCAGATAAAACAAATCACAGTCAGTCGAAATGTTTTACTCTGGATCCCTTAGAATTATTTTCAGATTTAGATAACTAAAGTCCGGTTGCACTAATATTACTTTAACTTTAAAGGAGGCTCTCTCTCTCTCTCTCTCTCTCTCTCTCTCTCTCTCTCTCTCTCTCTCTCTTTCTCTCTTTCTCTCTCTTTCTTTCTCTCAAGCGAGAGAGACAGAAAAAGAGAGAAAAAAGTTTAAGTCTTATTTAAAGTTAGAGCATCGTATACTCGAATCTAAAATATGGACAAGCAATACAAGATTTTGTATTCACACTGTAATTTTGTCATCATCGTGAATGGCATTCTGCTTGAAAGACGTTAACAAACGCGCGGCTCTCGCAGCTCGCGTAGCCTCTGCGAGATCCATCGCGGTTTGTCCCAGCATATCGAGACAATGCGGATCTGCGCCGTGATCTAACAGGAATTCAATCGCTTCCGTGTGATCATGAAGAGCAGCAAAATGCAGTGGCGTGCGTCCAGAAAAATTCTTTTGCGACAGATCAGCGCCAGCCAGCAAGTACGACTGCAGACGCTTCGTGTTTCCTGCGGTCGCGGCCATGCACATCTTCTCGCTGATCAGCACAGCATCGCCGTGAAGATGTGCTCCACATTGTAGTAATATCCTGATGATCTAGAAAATATCATAAAACGCACTTTCAACAATGATATTTTAATCATGGAATCTTAGTCCGCTTAAAACAAGATATTTTTCGATAAAGATAATATAACAAGAGAAGAGCTAAGTATATAATGCACACACAGATTTCTCTTAAGTTTAAATATGTTTTAATATACTTACTCACTATTCATGGACAAGTGGCACGATACAATTTAAATATTCTCGAGAAATTTGTATTTAAAGTTTAAGGAATTTTTAATTGTGAATCGTGAATTAATATTATTCGTATATGGTTGCAGGTTTTTAAATAATGTTATGATTATAAGATAATAATTTTTCTATTATATACATTGTCTAATTATTTATTTAAATATACCTAATTATTTAAATTTACTTATAATTTTGTAAAAAAGTTTTTAAAAAAAAGCGGATAAGAAACTTTCGATACAAACTTCTCGCAAAATATTTGAATATTGCGTTGTGCTGCTTGCTCGTGAATTAGTAGAAGATAGTGGAAAAACATATTTAAAGTTGAGCGAAATCCTCCTTCGTGTGTACACTTGATTTTCTTGTGAGACTATCAAGATTCTTTTTAACAATTTATTTTATGATTTTAATTAAGTATTTCAAATTTTTTTATAATATACATAAAGATATATGATAGAATTGGAATTCAGATTTAATTTTTGAAGAATAGTCTCACCTCATGATGATCGTATTCGATCGCGTCAGTGAGAGGCGTGTGATCAAAACGATCCTTAATGTGAACATTTGCACCCATTTTTAAAAGACGTCGCACGACTTTCAAGTCTCCCTCGCAGCAGGCTATGTGTAAAGCCGTTCGACCATCTGCGTTTACTTGCGAGATATCCGCGCCCTAAATAGAAAAAACTGATTAGAATAATAAATTAATTAGTAAATAATTCAAAAACTTATCCGTAATACGCTGTAAATGTATATTATTTTTATATTATATTGCCGTATATAATCAGCGTAATTAATTTATTATTATTGACATATATTAAAGACTAATATTTTTATTAATATAAATCTATTTTAATCTTCAGTTTTGAGATTCTCTTTGCCAACAATAGAAAACTAAATCCTTTAGTTAATGTCATACTATACTATTTTGTCACGAGACAACTCAGTAAATAAGAATGAATTGAAATGACTTGACATGGATTTAGATTTTTATTTTACATTCGCAAACATTAAAATAAATTCTTCTCAATCCAAATGCATTTTTATTATTAGGAATGCATGAAACGCTTTCTATGCCTTTCAATCTAAAACTAATATTAGCTTTTTCTATGCGTTGTGATTTTTTAATTCAAAATTCTGAATAAGAAATGCAGTTTTTTAATTTCCAACTGAATCTAACTGAATACAATTGAATTTAAATGAATAAAAAAAAGTTTTTTACCATTCAACTGAATTCAATGGATTTAAAATACGCGTAAAAATTTCAATTTATTTTAATTCCTTCTCGATTACTGGAAACACATTGTGATGGAAAAGAGGGAACGATTCTTAAAGATGTTTAATTTTTTATAATATTCTTCAGAGGCTATCAATTTTGCTTATTGAAAGAAATAATAATTATTAGTAATGTAAAATTTTAAATATTGAAGATTACTGACGTATCCTCTTAAAGATTCGAGTTTCACAACATCGCGCCTCACTACTGCAGCGTTCAGCATAGCTGGAAAAAGGATCGACCCCAATTCCTGAAGTTCTACTGTTGAGGATAATCTCAAGGAGCTAGCGACAGCTTCCACCAAGTCCCAATCCTGTATTGTGGGTGGTCGACCGGCAGTCAGTTCGCCCCGTAAATTCGTTTGCATCATTTGTCGCTTGGTTTCTGTATCCCAATCCTTCTTCGATAAGACATACGCGAGTTTCGTCAACGCGGCCTCCGGTGTCATGTCAAAGCCCGATATCACACCTGCAAATTGATAGCGAATTAGTACGAGTCTTAAAATAAAATTTATCTTAAGTAGAATACGTAATATTATCGCAACTTAAAATAAAATTTATCTGAGATAGAATACGTAACACTATTATAACTTAAATACAAGAAAATATTTATGTTTATAACTTTGTGTCGCACTTTATTACGCAAGTTTTCCGTGACATTTTCTACAATCTTAATCTGCAATTTTTCTGAAAAGAGAAAGATAAAATTTAATGGGGAGATAAAGAATTAAAATTGCTAATCTCGAGGAAGTTTCAGCTTCAGTATTATTCAGTGTTATTTAAAGCTGCATTCAAGTGAGAGATCTCTATATGTTTAAATGATTAATCCTCTTTTGAATCAATATTTTTAATTTAATATTTGTACGGTACCAGCTTTTTGGAGCAATTTTCCAGCCTCGTATATATCCGAGACACATCCGGTCGTACATTGTGTGATATTCACAACAATCACACCGCGCTTTGTCGCCGCGCTAAGCTCTTCAATGATATCATCGCGATTTGTCGGAATATTTCCCAAGCCGTAGGACTGCAGCACGACTCCCTCGATGGGTGGTTGAAGAAACACCTTGACCAGGTTGGAAGTAATACTGGGAAATAACCGGAGCAGGCCTACGTTTCGATTAAGTGATGCGTGTACGTAGAACTTCTCCATAGTACAGGGACGGAAAATCAAACGATAATCCACTGCAAAGGAATATTAGTCTTAAATTCTTTAGTATATCTCGTAAATTATATTAATCAAATTAGATTTTTTCTTAGAGAAAAAAAATGTTAATATTTATAGCACACTGTAAAAAGTGCAATATTTAAAATGTTTATATTTAAAACATCTTTGCAAAACAATTTAACAATAAAAGATATTATAATCTTAAACGTTTTAGTATTTTAAATCCAAATACAACATAGTGTTTTGTTTATTAAAAAAGTTTAAGACTAAGATATTTTTAAGTATTCGAAGACATTTGAATATCTTAAAATTAAACACTTCTTTTTTGAATGCATCTGCAAACAATTGATAATAGACAATGCATAATAATAAATTATATGTATAATAATTTAATTATATTGTAT